TTGTTTTTTTATTTATAATTCGCTATAAATTTTTCAAAAAACAGGTATGCTAATATAAAATCAGCAATCATTTTTCAATTTTCGATATCAATTTCCTGGATCATCAATTGATAGAAAAAATTAATTCATGATTAGAGCAACAAATTTATAATTTATTAGTACATTAGTGACAATTCGAATCTCTCATAATGAGAGCGTTAGATGAACGGAAATTTTTCTTCGGAGATAATGAGACCTCAGCGAATCGCACATGGCTATTCTTTTTTACGCGGGACGCGTTTATTATCTATATCGATAAATGATCGTTATCCGCGATACTCTGATTATCGCGGCAAAAAATCGGATCAGATGATACAACTCTCGCGCGGCCTTCCACTCGTACAAACACGCAACGATAATTCCTACATCGCGAAAGCTCTTATCTGTTATCCGTTGTCGTTTTCTTATAATAGCAGGTTGACCGAGATCTCGCGTGTACCGGGCATAAACCGGAAGCTCGTTAACACGATCCTGCTTATCGCGAACGCTGAACATGTACATTCCTCCATTCCTTGATTTCTATTTTTAAATGAATTGACCATTTTAAATCCGGTTTTTGCGTTTGTATTCATTTAAGGAGAACTCGAGCTCCTAATTTTATCGGTTAAATAAATATACATATATGGGAAAAAGAGAGAAATATTTTTTTTTTTAGGTAAAGAGTACCTTCTTGGCAAAATAAGTTTTCGCGAAACGAGAAACTATTATATTCGCAGATTATTTGACATAGTGTATTTATTCTTGAAGAATATATGAATGTAATACGGCATCTTTGACATTCTGGAAATGGCTCGGGCCTTTTTCTCGCAATGCGTTGTGCTAATACAAACTCGCTCGAATCCGAACGCATAATGTGCTACGTAGGATGACTATTGTATCGCTGCAATTACGCAGTAAATGCAACGTTCAATACACACAGTCGGACGATTAACTCACTGCTAATCATAAGATTGTTTAAGCAACGGGCTTAATCTCGCGTTGATAGCAAGTTCATGTGCATCGTCGAAGGTGCATATTTCTGATTAATGAAAATTTTATTATAATTTGTGTAACACTCAATCTGATTAATTTCGCTTAATTAACTTAATTTATTAATTTATAAACGCTTAATTAATTAATTTATAAACGCTATACAAACGTAAAAAATAATCTTTTTCTTTTCTCGCGACGAATCGAAGCGAGATATATTTCTCGAAAGTTGAATGAAAATTAATTTAGAGTGTCTCTCTGTTCGCGAAATTATAATATAAGATTCTGTCAGCGGGAGCAGTGGATAAGATTCAACAAAGATCCCTTTATCAGTGAGAACAAAAAACTTTGAGATATGGCAATGCAATGGGTGAAAGGAATAAAGCGTAAAGCAACAGGTGTCTTAAACGCAACAGGTATCTCAGGCGCACAACAGGTCTCTTGAACGCAACAGATGTTAATGTCATCTCCACCCTATATGCCTTCCATTACACGCCCTTGATATGAAATATCAGATTGAATCAGACGCTTTTCATCGCACGATCGATTGTATAATGAAATCGAAATATAAAGCAGATAAAATATCTTCGCGATAGAAAAAAGAAATATATGGCAATTGAATAAAAATTTGAGATGACACGCGAGAGATTATTTTCTCTGCGAGAAAAATAAAAATTTTCTAGAAACGATCAAATTTGCGTAATTTTCTGTGACTAAAAAAAATGGATAAAAAAATAATAATAAAAATATGACGTGATAAGCTTATAGGCACGATTACGATAACTTTGGCCCCCTATTTGAAAGGTCGTTTCTGAAACTATTGGTCGGAAATTCTTTTTACTATTTTTCCCGTGTTCCTCGTCAAAAATGTCTTCAGAAACGACCTTTCAAATAGGGGGCCAAAGTTATCGTAATCACCCCAGCTTATAATATAAAATATGATTTTATAGATTGAAGCTTCGATAGAAGTCTATATATTTTATAAAGTCGCAATGATTTTTTATAACGAAGCAGATACGAGCAGAGAGAGATCGAAATGACGCAATGCCTATCGAAATTTCGAATGCTATTTAATTAATCATATTCAACCACGCCCTGCAGGAACCGACGCACGATAAAAGGAAATCGGAATGCATGCGTTGATCCATCCACGATGAAAGCACTTGCATAATAAAATGCACCGAGTTTAAAATTAGCACCTACTGCTGACCCTGGTTTCGATCGTTTCGCTCGCGCATCGAATTTCGATTATCATCAATAAAAATCGTTGCTTCGACGACAGCAGATTTTTTTTTGCTCTTCCTTATGCGAAAAGAATTGATAAGATAGTTGCATATTCTCGAATTTATATGATAGGGCAATAATAAATTAAAAAATTCCAACAGATAAACCAATTAAGAAAACACTATGTGATAAATAAATAGAAAAAAAAATATATAAGCTTCAACAAAATGCTCTTTTACACACGTTCTGCAAGTTAAATTCTTAAATATTATCATGCAAAGCAATGTATAAATTTAAAAGAGTGATTCATTTCTGGATGATGGATCACTATTTGTGGAATACATATATGCAATCGCCTTTTATTTTTAATGTAATATAAATCGAATGCGTATTAAAAGTTAATGTAAATTATAGAAATTTAAAAAGTATTATATACCCCCCACGCGATATATTTATTTCCTACTACTCGCATCGAAATCATTCGATGAGTGATAAACATGACGATAGTAATCGAGTCCACTAAGCAAAGATCTATTTAAAGACCAACTTTCTAATAAATGGATCCGATACTGTATGATTTTTCAACTCTTTATAAGAGTTTTTGTTATTCTCGATAAATTCTGTCAAATAAAAGTACGCGTGATATATTTAAAATTCTCATTTATTGTTTACGAAACCTTGTATTTCATTTAATTAATAATAATTAAAAGTAGCTGAGTTTTTCTCTCGGAACCTCAAATGTATATTGAAGTTTATGATAAAATTTACTAACAGCTTTTTGATCCAAGTGTCAAAATTATAAAATAAATATGCGATAAATTATAATTATTAAAAAGAAAAAAGAAAAAAAAAACTGAAACAATTAGCACGTGTTGAAATAAGTCACGTGCAAAAGTCAAAGCAAATTTGTTATTAAAATAGCAGTCGCACGGTTTCATAAATTTTATGTGAAAAGATCAGCCCGCGAAAGATTAAATGTCAGCTCCAAGTTTCTCGTAGGGGAAAACATTATACTAATCTCTGCACCTTTCATGGCACAACCTGTATGGAAGTCTACTGCCGATGCTGCCTTCGAACACGCGGAATGCAAATCCCCGCCGAGCATTTAGCGCCGGCTTCAATATTCCCGTCGCGTGTGTCAATACTTAAGCACCTACGTGCGTATTAAGTCGCGCGTATGCACCTGACAAATGAAGCAGAGCGAACATGTACATGGGCGTCAAATAAATCGAACACAATTGAATGAGTATGAGCGTTGAAATAAGATGAGATAAATCCAAAGTCGCAAAATTATTTCATCTCATTGTATTAGACTTTTTCTTTAATTCGAAAATATAAAAAAATTATTATATGATATCAATGAAAATTAGCCTTAAATAGTTAATAATTAAAAATTAAAAGATTCTGGCTTTAGCAAATAAATCGCAAGATTTCATTTTCCATTTATTTTTAAATGCATCTTAAAAATAACTGCGACAAATTTTTCATTTAAGGCTTAGTAACAAAGATATTTAATTGTAACAATAGAATAGAAAAATGATGTCAATTTAAATCACCGAAAAAATTCGCAAAGAAAAATATGTAAATATGTAATCGGCCTGCCTGAACAAAAATATCTCTGGCTTATAAAACAGTAATTTCGTCGAGAAGAAAGACATCCGAAAACAAATACAAGTTGTTGACGATATGGGCGGCGACAACTAAAGGTATTTAAAAAAAGGTGATCTCAAGCCAAGGCGGGGGGGGGGGGGGGGGGGGTTCAATCATTGACAAAGGTCAATTTTTTGCATACTCGAATAACAAAGAAATTTTTACCGAAATTATATGACAACTTTTCGATCGTTAATTAATCGTCAATTAACGCGCGAAATTTGTCGCGAATTTTTACTAACATTGTATAAATCTCATCACAATTAATATTTCTGTCTCTTAATTAAAAATTCTCAGAGAAAGGAAATATATATTTTGAGCACCCTATATATCATAAATTCTCTTATGATAAACGTAGAAGAATTAAGACGTCAAAGTCTTTCTTCTTGAATTCTTCTTGAAGAATGGGACAAGCTTTATATAAGAGAATAAAAAAAAATTGTATGTTTTATATGTTTTATAAACAAAACATAAATCTTATTAAATAATCAATATTATAATTTTCCTTGCATTATCTATGAAATGTATTATTTTTCTTTACCGTCTCACCGCGCGTGAATATACGTCCCTATATTTATTATACTTGCTATAACTTTCTAAAAATATATTCCATAAAAAGAGAGAGAGAGAGAAAGAGAGAGACATTTGACATGTTTACTTTTAAAAGAATATACGATATATAGGGCATATATGTATGCGTGTAGCTGCTATCATTTTGTCTCGCACTGTACTTCTCATTATCGCTTACTATCGACGGTGCGTGTAATTTTCTACAGTCGATCGCGTTTTTAACGCGTCTGTCAAAACGAGAAACGTCACGACGAAACGGCCTGGTGTTATCGGCGCGAGGGGCGAGAAGCGCGCGCGTTTAAAAATATCCACGTTTTAACGCGGGAAATTGGAGGGCCGACAAGGTCGCGGCGCAAGGTGCGCGCGAGGGGGAGGGGAGGGGAGGGGATAAAAAAAAAGAACAAAAAGAAACGGAGAACGCGGGCGCGTGTGTGCGCGTACCTACACACACCTAGGCGTGCGCGATAAATACACACACACACACACACACACACATACATATATATATACGCGAGATACGCAGAAAAACAGAGCCGCGTGGTACCAACCTGTCGCTCTTGTCGACGACCGCGAGAGGCGCGAGCTCCTGGAGCGGAGGCTCCGCGGATATGCCCTGGGCACGGTCGCGGGTACGAGGCTTGGTCGGCGTGAGCGGCGGCGCCGCGCTGAAGGGCAGCACGCTCAGAAACTTGTCGAGGTGGCTGCGCAGCTCCTGGATCTCGGCGTCGCGGCAACAGACAACCGCCTCGAGCTCCGCGATCCTCTCGTCCTTGGCCCGCAGCAGTTCCTGGAGCTCCCTCAGGGTACCCATGGCGGCGATCGGGGCACCACCTCCTGCGGTGCCGCCGATGACGTGCGGCACTTGGGTGACTTGCGTGGTGGCGGCGGCGGTGGTGTTGTTCGCGCTGGTGACAGCGTCGACGGCGACGACGGCCGCGGCGCCGTGCGTCGTCGGCAGCTGCGACGAGGCGGCGGCGGCGTCCTCCTCCTCGTCGGCGAGCGGCTGCTGCGTCGACGAGAAGCACAGCGAGTCGAAGCACACGCGCATAGACACGCAGGCGTCGCCGATAGGCACTCGGTATTTGGTACCCTTGTCCATTCAACTTGCCGTGACGCGCGCGCGCGAGAGAGAAAGAGAAAAGAGAGAGAGAGAGAGAGATAGAGGATTTGTGCGCGGAGCGACGCGACCGGGAGACCCGACGGGGACGTCGTCGGTCGTTACTATCGCGCGAATTCGCGTGATCGCGCTCCCGAAGAGCGGAGGACCGACGTCCTCCACCGCCTCCGTGCTGTCCCGCGTTTGTCGGCCGAACGGGAGAGCGAAGGGGTGAACGAAGTGGGAAAGGGAAGAGGATAGTGCGAGAGAAAGAGCGAGAGGGTAAATGAGAGCTGGGGAAGGGATGGGGCGAGGGAAGAGGGAGGGGGAGACTCGGCGCGCATCGCGCCGGTCGCGAACGCGCGCTGTTATGACGTAACGATGAAGTCCGAAAATCGACTATATTCACTAATATATATAATGCATTTCGCCATATTCTGTGGGTAAGAGCGCGTTCTTCTTATCCGTTCGTCGATAAAGCTGAAACAAGATTTATAAATTTAATTATTTGGGTTATATATAATAAACCTAATCTAACCTAACCAGTATTTATAAATTTAATTAATTTTTAAATATATATTTAATGAACGAGGACACGTGTGGTCGCGCGCCGCTCTTTATTCCTTCGCTCACATTGTCGATTAAAACAAAAAGCAGGCCGCGGGTTGTCCCGTAAACAACGCGCGCAGAATCTAATGAATTTTTTTTTTTTTTTTTTTGTTTTTTTTTTTTTTTTTTTTTGCAAAAGAGAATTATTAAATTTTATTTCAGCAATAGATGCATGCAGTTAGAATATTTATATCGCGTCGCATTTAAATATTTTTAATAAGATTTAGATTTATTATTTTTAATTAAAAAAACTGACATTTTATTTCCGAAATTTTAATTATGAGTTTTCTCGAATTTTTATTCCTAAAGAAGATATTGTTTTGCTGTCTTCAACAACTTTTTATATCGAAAAAGTTTCTTAAAAAATTTTAAAAATTTCGTTTATGTGAAATAAATTTATAATATGGAACCAACCGCATTAAATTATTTTTTCCAGTAAAATCAACGTTACTGGTCGTCAAATTTTGCAATTTTTTATTATCTTGTTTCAATTTATAATATTATTGTAACTTCAAATATTATTGAAATATACATAATTAAAGATTCTTTAAAGCAATGCTAAATAAAATTTTGTTGTTTTCAAATGAACTCTATTATGGATAATTAGAGAACTTTGACACAGTCAATTATTAGTAAATTGCAATAATGGGTATATAATAAATCCATAATAAAATATATAAATTAAATATATATATATACAGTTATATAATAAGATACGCTCTTTCTAAACCCTCCGGAGAATGATCCTATTTGTGGCTCATCCGAATCCGAATAGCAAAAATCATACTGAAGTTAGTTATATTTTATGAACTAACTTCAATATGGATTTTATTATTTTTCTGAACTGTTTATTTTATGAGTTAGATATTGAAATTATTTAAAAATGAAATAATTTGGAATTACGGTTTTATTTAAAGTCAATGATACCAAAATATGACAACGTTAAAATTGTAATAAAATATAAATCGGCGGAAATTCTTGGATAAACCACAAATAGAATCATCCTCTAGTAGAAAGAGCAATAGCAAATCTTTTAAATTTAAAAAGAACATTTAAAAAATTATTTTTAACATATTAAAAATATGTGAAATATATTGATAGGAGATATTTGATCTAACAAGATATTTTCAATATCCTTAAAAAAGATCGATATCAAAATAGTTAAAGAATGTAAACGGAAATACTGGCTTGTTTTGCTGGATGAAATACTCCGTGTGATATATGCAATTATTAAGAATCAATTCAAAACACATTCCACCTAAATTCGCATGTAAGGATTATAGATGTTCGGAAATAAAACGTGCGAATAAACAATAACCAAAAATGTATTATCCTTACATAGGTATATTATATAAAGATTACTGCAAAAAAGCATTCATATAGTATTTGTGCATGTATATATATGTACAACGGAAAATATGTACAATTCATAAATAAAAAAAATCATTGTACTTCAATTGCGCTATTAAGATTTGTCATTGCGGAAGATGGGGTACGCTTCCTGTCCTTAGTACGGTTTTTGCGGCAACTGTAAACTCGTCGTCGTTACACTGAATTTTTTCAGTTTTATGCGTCTCTTCCGTATTTAAAAATACATCATTCAAATAGACGTTATTCAAGCTGACGGCGCTATTTGATAGGATGGCCGTACCAAGATTTGGGTTTTTCATATCGGCACTATTAGCACGTTTATGCGACGGAGATTTCGAGGCTACGTCGTCTTTATCGGCTTGCGTGTGCGATATTATATCGCTCGCTTTACCGAGAATAATTAAACTATTTAATATGCGAAGAGCCACTAGTATAAGATAAGCTAATAATAAAAGTATAATATCAGCGGGTCTCGCGGATGGTGTGATGGTTGTACATAGAACACGGGCCATGGCGACTCCCAGGGGAAGAGGTATAAAGCCCATTCGCCGTGCGACTAAATCCGAGGGATCCGAGAACGCTGTTTCTCGACGTGCCTGCGTCATATCATACGCCAAACTCACGGTATAATCCCTGTAGACGGTTGAAGGCAACTCGTTGAAACGTGTGATGAACGCGTGTTTCACCTTTACAGACATATAGTGTGACATTAGTGTAGGCAGGAATGATTCATACGATCAAATATAGCTTGCAGATATTTCAAATGTAGCTTACAACTTATGTAAGCAAGCAAAAGACTATGCAAGGGAGACTTAAACAATTTAACAATAAGAATAATCAAGTTCAATTATCAATACAATAATCTAGAACCGACATATTTTTCGATATGTGTACATAATGTAAAATATAATTTATATTGCAACACAAACCCAATCAACAAGAACTTCTGCAAACAACAGTATCACGCAGTCGGGCAGCAAAACAGCGAAACGATCGCTGTGCCATGCGTATTCTTTCATTGTTTGTAGACTCACTGCAAGGAGTAGCATCGCTAGGTGAAATCTTTCCCTGACGTCGGCACAAGATAATTGAAACAAGTTGTTTTTGTCAAACTTCTTGAACACAGAACCCTTCAGTTCCACAAACTGAAAATATTTGGTATATTTTAAAATTTTTCGTTTACATTTTGTATACTATACTTACTACTTCATTTATTTATTTAAATATGCTTTATACTTTATTCTTCAATATTAGAAATTGCTTCACACTTTTTAAGGCACACTTACATTGTTAGACATCATAATTGTTAGAAGGGCTTTGTTACTGCTGTTGATCGCTACATTTAATGTTGTTGCTTGGAACAATACCAATATGCTGTGCAACACTTTATGAAAATGCAGTCAAGGTATATATATCTTGTTCTGCAACTTAATATTATCTCAGATCAAATTGATCGTAATATAATTATATATAAAGGATACACACATAAGTGAGGGTAAATAAAAGATGCGGCAATGTACCCAAATGTGGCGCACGCGTGGATTTTGAACGCGAGCGCGGCTCGGTAGCGGTCCAAAGTAGAGCATCTATAGCATCTTGGCCAAAAGCACTGAAAAGACGATCTCCTACCTCTAGCATATTGTAGAATATGTATAATTTTATAACCGACTGACTTTTAACCAAATGATACATCATGGAAGTGTCTACCACTTTCCAGGTAGCTATCCAACAACCTATTACTACAATCCCTTTTAATAAATCGCACACCTCAGCTGGGCTTAAATACGTCTCTGTATTTTTCGCGCCAACTTTTTCACTTCCACCCCTACAAAATGGGATAAGTGAAAATTTTTGAATAAACAAATATATATCATATTAATCAATTTCTCAAATACCTTAAGCAATGTCGTAAAGGTCTCGTAATCACTGCCCATAGAGCCATTGCAAATCTTATTGGTAAAAATGTATACACAAAGAGAAAGGAATCTGCACACTATAACAACAAAGATAATAATGAAATATAAATTATTCTAAAAATACAATTTTGACTATTATTTTATTCTTACAACGATATAATATTATTATACCTGAAAAAAACCATAAGCCATAAAGTTTTCCACCTCTCTAGGAATTTTTATAAACGAGTAAACCTTCTCCCTTCTGGCAGAGAATGTTTCCTCGTCATATTCCAGCTGATAATCCCTTGTTAATTCTGTCCTTAGAAATTGCATCAACGACGCTTCTGAAATATTAATTATATTTAATTTAATCAAGCTAGACAAAAGTAAATCTATACAATGTTATTTATAAAAATTTCAACTTTAAAATGAAAATTTTCATATAATAAAATTTCTAGCATGTATAAATTAAGCTGATAATGTAATGCGACATATCTCAAATCACAAAATCTGTCAAACATAAAATTAATATCTCTGATAAATCTTGCATGAATCAGTGACGATGCTGTAACAGATAATTAATATTATCTCATCCATCGCATTTACATTCGATAATGCATAATATATCATGCTAATTCTCTTTCTTGTTTGCTCCGTAGATATCTTATTACTTCGCAAAATGAATTCCAACAATCATGCACACATATATGTATACATATGTATATATATATATATACTTTGTTTTTTCTTCGGATCTTGCCCGTCCGATAATTGCGACCTATAGTGTGGATCCACATTTTCCACTCGCTGTCTATTGTTGGATGACACATGATTTTTGTCAGTACCGCGAAACCTGATGGTCCTCTTCTCCGACCAGCTTTGCTCCATCTCCCCATCAGCGGAGCACGTGTTCTGCATCGCTCTCTGTAATATTCAACAACGAACACCGCCGATGCAACGCATTCTCCACGAGCTCTTACTGTCTATTCTTATTCAGACATAACCGTGCGTCCCGTCTCTTGTATATTATATATGTGCGACTCTGCTATCGTGCCTTGATTAAACCGCACATAGGACGAACTGTCATAACACAGCGCACGCAACGCGCAGCGAAAAACAACGTGCGTCGTTCGAATGTGAAAGCGCTAAAACCGATAATTAATCTAGTTCTTAGTTAATGTCTTTCCGGGAAACAGTTCTTTTTTTTTTTTGTTACATGATACACTATTATTCTAGATTTCCTATAGTTTCGTGAAACTAGACGTAAAGTCTTCCGCATATCGCGGACATAATATAAGTATTTATGAATTAGATTTTATTGATAGTCAGTACAATTGAAATTCTCTGCTCTACGATTAACAACGTGCGATAAAGACGAACGTATGAATTACAGGCCGTCGATAATTGTTAGCAGAAAATTTTAATTATCAACTATCAGTAAAATATAATTATAATTTAATTGTTAATAAAATATAAGACATATGACAAAAAATTCATTCCACATGTTATCGATTATTAAAATATAATATTCGTACACATATATTTAATTATATATTTTTCATTATTTATAAAAATGAAAAGTCCAGAGATATTAAATATACATATATTTAATTAAATACTTTTTTCATTGATTAAACAGCTTGGCGATATGTTAAAATAAATTTAAATATTGATTACGTATATAATGACAATCTCATGATGATGTCATACTTCCTTAGTTACGTATCTGATTTGAATCAACAACAGTTTAGCACACATATCAATTTAATGTAAAGCGAGTTTCTGTGCAAGATTTTTCAGAAAGTTTTTTTTATAAAATATTGTGCGATATAAGTATAGAATTTCGCGATGAATATCTCAATTGAAAACAATGCTTCAATTGTACCTTTTGATAATGAATTTAATGCTGATAGCATGGAGCAATCAGGGACTAAACTTAAGAAAAGATTATGGATAGACACAAAGTCTCTGAATGTGCCAAATGTTCTGGATCCAGATGACTCCTTGATGAAGAGATTCCAAAATGCTCTGCGAGAACATCTCGTCCGTGTTGACAATAAGTTGAGCAGCGAGATATTAGAGCTTGTAAGGATTTTTTACTCCCTTTTTCATATTTAAAAAGAATTTATCAAATGAATGCATATGAATAAAACATTAATATATTATGTGTTCGTTGAATAATTAACTGCAAATATTTTACAGGAAGCTAAAATAAAATCTATAGAAAAAGAACACGAAGCAGAGAGCTTGCAATTGTACCATGCCCAACAGGAGACAGCACAGCAGCAAATGACAATTGAGAAATATCAAAGCATGATAGTAAATGTAATTTTACTGCGTGAAGAGAAAGATACGCGTGTAAGGGACGCGACAGATGTTCGTAAAGTCGCCCATGCTAAATTGCTGGATGAAAAAACAAAAGAGGAAAACCTTGCGCATGAGTTGGAACAACTTACAACTTTGCAAGCACAATTTTCGGAATGGCAAAAAGAGCTCGAAAATAGTCTGGCTATTTCCAAACAAGTGTCTAGGAAAGATAAGGCGATTCAACGAGATTTAATTACTCAGAAGCAGCAGAAAGATTTTATAATATTCAGACTTATGGAAGAGACATGGAAAATTAAGAATGAGATAGCCAATCTAGATATACAATTACAGTTAAAAAATAAAGAGAAAATTGAGATAAGCCAGATGATTGCCGACGTTAATGCCGATCTAGAAGCGTTGCATAAGCAACATAAGAATTTATGCAACGCTTGGAATTCCGTTGTGCTGAATATTACTAAGCGGAATAAAGTTTACGAGCAATTAAACACAGAGCGCGAGTACGTAATATCTCCATAATCTTTAAGGATTTGAATGAGTGGATTTGTAACAGAAGATGATATCATAATCAAGTCACATTTATTGATTTAAAGAGATAATCACTTCAGTGAAACTCTACCGTCATTTGCTAAATGAGGAAGATTGAACTAGCCAATATCTTTTCAGGAAAATATGCGAATCCTTCAACACGTTACATACAGAAATAGAGAAATTAAAGAAAGAAACTCATAAAGAAGCGGAGAATAACGAGAATTTGACCTCATTGCATGTACGAATAAAAGACAATATACAAATTACTTCAAAGCTGATGGAAGTGGAAAATGACAAACTTAATAATTTGCAATCTGAATTAGTAAAAATGGCAAAATTTAGTGAACATGAACAACATGAATTTGACTTAATTAATAATGTACGTTAAATGTTACTGCATATTTATTAAAGACTATCACAAAAATGAATATAATTAATTAATATATATTTAAAT